GCGATAATAACTTTGCCAATACGATATACATGCACTTTAGAGCAAAATTCTATACCAGCAATTGCAAACTGAAAAAGTATTGCAAGAGGCAGTTCATAGAATGCTTGAGCCTTGTGCATATATATATATAATAATATATAATATATAATATATATATATAATATATAATATAATATATAAGATATATATAGAAGATAGATAGATAGATAGATAGATGATAGATATAGATAGATAGATAGAAGATAGATAGATAGATAGATAGAAGATAGAAAAGATAGATAAGATAGAGATAGAGATAACAGACAGACAGACAGACAGACAGACAGACAGAGATAGATAGATAGATAGATAGATAGATAGATAGAAGACAGACAGACAGACAGACAGACAGACAGATAGATAGATAGATAGATAGATAGATTAGATAGATAGATAGATAGATAGATAGATAAATATATATATATATATAATATATGAATATATATATATATAATGTATGTATGATATTTATATATATATATATATAATATATATAATATAATATATATAATATATATATATATATATATATGTGTTGTGTATGTGTGTTGTGTGTGTGTGTGTGTTGTGTGTGTAATGTGTGTGGTGTGTGTGTGTGTGTGTGTGTGTGGTGTGTGTGTGTGGTGTGTGTGTGTGTGTGTGTGTGTGTGTGTGTGTGTGTGTGTGTGTGTGTGTGTGTGTGTGTGTGTGTGTGTGTGTGTGTGTGTGTGTGGTGTGTGTGTGTGTGTGTGTGTGTGTGTGTGTGTGTGTGTGTGTGTGTGTGCATGTGTGTGGCTTTATGTACAATCTACTGTAGCCAACATTATATAACTATACAAATCTAACTATCTATAACTTTTATAAACATACAATTACACCCACGTACATCACAAATACATCTTTGTAAAACCTGCACTTCTGGAATCATGATCCTTTCTAAGTTAGTCTTTTCGTAGATTCCGAACCAAAGTTGTGAAGGACTCAATTTTTTCATATTCAAGATCTCCCATCCAGCTGAGGGTATAATTTCCACTTTGTTAATGCAATAAAAATGAACTCATTGATTTTATTACAGAAAGTACCTAGCATAAGCATAAATACATTTTTTTCTTATACCATTTCAACAGTAAAATATATACTCACAAACAGATTTGAAATAAAGCTGACAGAATGACAAAAATCAACAACAATTCAATTATTTTTGACTGCAAAATCCTATTTATCTGCAATATTATTTTTCAGAGACACTCACCTTCCTCCTGTTTTGAAATGCGAGCCAACTATGAAACCATGGGCATCCATGTACTTATGAACATTATCACTGGTGACACCCGACCCAATCAACACTGGCAGGTCCCATGAATCAAAATTCATATTTAAGGTTTGTAGAAAAGATAAGAGGTCAAAAAATCCTAAATCACCAATAAGTCTTTACTATAAGAAGAAAGTACTCTATTATGAAGTGAAAAAGAAGAATTCTATTAAGGCATTTTGTAAATTTCATAGTGTTCTGCCACATATGAATATATAAATGACATATGGAATCATTATAGAAACACAGATAATGTTGAACATAACTGTAACATTTGATATATTCCATGATGTTTACATACTGCTGCTTAAAAAAGTTTATAACTGTTATAAGAAGTAACAATAACCATTAACACCCTTTATTTCTTTGACTTTGATATAAATTATGTGTATTTATTATGCAGTCTAATATCTGATGTAATAAACAATTAATCAATAACCAATAAGGTCACAGGTGTTTTAGTAAACCTTCTAATGCTTCATTATTCATTAATCCATCCATGTATACAAGTTTACTGCTTTCATTTACTGCTGTCATGTTGGTTAACTTACATGGTAATCAATGACATGCTTCTAGTAAGATTAGTGGGGAAGTGTAGCAATAAGGCATATATATAAAAGAAACTCAAGAATGCCATAGCCCTTCACAATAGTTTTGTCAATATTCAATTCTAGATCTGTCTTTCTAATCACTAGAATCCTACAAATTCACACCTTATGTATATAAAACTGTCCTAACATATAACAAAGGAAATCAACATCAGAATACCTCCTCATCATAACTCCTTACTTTCTAGCTGACGGTGATCAGCTTCCTGTCCCCGTCGCAGAACCAGTAAGAATGACACCATCGGCAAGAAAGAACTTGGCTGCTTCTGCTGTGTCTGCTATCCCTACATCACTTGTTATGGAATGTGCACTGAAACAACAAAACAAATAAGGCTTACTATATTTCAAATAGGGAATAACACAAAAAAAAATTCCCAGTTGCTACTCAATTTTTCAACAGAACAAGTCCAAATACAAAATGAAAATTAGATAAATGCATAAATATATTGTGCTGTTTCAAAGTAAACTACCAGTCCCACCTGTGCTTCTTCTTAATGTCAGTGAAAACCAAAACATCCTCAGCACCAATGGAACGTCTGTATCTTAGCAGAGGCCCAGCGCATGCATTCATGAGCCCTTCGTCAGCCACATGGGAGAATACAAAGCACTCTGCTCGGATGAACTGGAGTCCGCAAGCCTTCCCAACAGCCAGAGCTTCCTTATTCCCTCCTGCAAGGATCTATAGGAGGTGATTACTCCTGACAGGAGCACAGTACAGTGGATTCTAATATGAATCATGCTGCATTATTGTTACTATGATTTACTAACTAAATGTAATCAATGCCATTTCTTTAATCAACATATTTTCATAAAATAAAAATTAACAATTTGTTTAAATCATATAAATATACAAATATCAACAATATATAAAAATATACATGAAAGCCATAACCTCACAATTTCAAGAAAATATATAAGCAGAAATACCTGAATGCCACAAGGAATGCGTTTGGGAATGATACTGCGCACCTCCTGGCAAACCCTTGTCATGGTGGCTACAACTTCGGGCCCTAACGATGCTCCCATGAGGTAGGGTATGTCAAACATATTTTCCACCAGGACACCATCCTAAAAGAATAAACTAGTAAAGAAAAATTGAGTGGAAAGACCCTGTTAAGTTAATCTATATGGTGAACTGCGAGTATAAATATCAATTAGTGTTATTCTAATACAAATTCCTGAATCAAGATTTGGTAAACCCCCTTAAAACACACACACACACACACACACACACACACACACACACACACACACACACACACACACACACACACACACACACACACACACACACACACACACACACACACACACACATTCTCTATAAGCTGTCATCATTACATCAAAATCTTCACACAGAAAAACAACAAAAACAAATTCTGAATAAAAAATAACCAAAATACAAAAAATAAATTGACTTACAACACCGGCCTCTTTGTATGCGAAGGCTTCCTGACGAGCCATCTCCACCAGCTCATTAATTCCGTGGCGATTCAAGGGCGTTCCTATCAATGTAGTACAAGAAATCCCATCAAATTTGCATAAGCTCATACAAGGATTCATACATCTTTGTTTACTGTAATCAGTAGGTCCATTTCGTATCCAATCTAGAATCCTGGTAATCCACATAGAAAACAGAAATAGGATAGGAATGATGAGCTAAAGTTAATCAACCAGCATTAACTTACAATTACAATATATAAGCTCATCATAAACATGCTACACTCACCCTCCCCTACACACACACACACACACATACACTCCTCTCTCAATGACAGATACACTTAGCAAATAGCTAACTTGATTTCAAATGACTGCCAAAATTGTTTAGGCTGTACTAACAAATTCAGTTAATTTTCACAAATCTCATCTTAAAAAGAATATTAGCATTTGATCCTCTGAAATGTTTAGTCTAACCTTTAAGAAGGAAGAAGAAAGAAGAAGAAGAAGAAGAAGAAGAAGAAGAAGAAGAAGAAGAAGAAGAAGAAGAAGAAGAAGAAGAAGAAGAAGAAGAAGAAGAAGAAGAAGAGAAGAAGAAGAAGAAGAAGAAGAAGAAGAAGAAGAAGAAAAGAAGAAGAAGAAGAAAAGGAAAGGATGAATGGTGATGACAAAAAAAAAAAATAATAATAATAATAAGAAGAAAAAAAAGATGAATAAGAAACAAAAGAGAATAATAATAAAAAAAAAACAGTAAGAAGAAAGAAGAGAAGAAGGAGAAGAAAGAGGAGGAGAAGATAAGGAAGAAGATAAAGATGAAAGAAGGGAGGATCAAGAACAAAAAGAAAAAGAATGAGTAAAAACAAATTAAAATACACAGAAAGATACATATACAGGTACAGATATAGGCATATAACCAATCAATACAAAAACTGATATAACACAAACATGACCTCAACTCAAGTAAATAATTCATCTACAGTAAAAAGTTCTTACGTAAAGGCAGCATCTTACCCGGAAGTGCCTTGACATGGATCATGCCAATCACAGCCGCTCTAGAACACTGGAAAAGGTCCTTGAAGCGCGAGAGAGCCATCGCTGAAATATCAAACCATAAATCAAATTATGTTACAGTTAGTTCATAAATGGTGTTCACTGACCGACAGAAAAGCAAAATGACTAATTCCTCAAAGTTATGTACGTAAGAGACATGTTGTTGTTGGTATTATAACTCTAACACATGTTGATAATACAGCTTATTCAGAGTTATGTAATTCTAATAAGAATTTTGTTGATTTATATTTCTTGCCAGTAGATTTTTTTGGTCTTTAATTCTTCTATATCAGTTCATAACAAAGAATTTTTTGTGGCTGTATTCGTAAATATTGTGCCAATAAAAGGATTCGTAATCTTAAATACTAATGCAGATTATAAGCAAGAATAAAGGAATAATGGTACCTATGAGTATTATGTAATGATAAAATAAAATAGTAATAAGATACGCAATTTGAATAATAATAACAATAATGACGACAGTGATGACGATAACATTGATAATAATGATGACAATGAAGATGATGATGAGTATACAAGTAAATTTGGATGTAAATTGGAGTAAGTAAGAAGTAATCACCTGTTGAGTTTATCACAAAATGTCCTCTTTAATGATTAAATGATTAAATATCCCGATGAGTTATTCTTGCTAACTGTTACAGAACATTTCTGTGAATCTGCCCATGCCATTACAAAACTGTGTCAATACCGTCGTGAAACTTACTTATGTAAAATAAATCTATGTATTTACGAGACTCATAACGATTTGTAACACGGAGATAAAGCAGAACTTAACCGATGGATAAACTGATAAATGTTAGTGACCGAACATCTGAAATTTACAGTTCAGGTGTGTTATTCAATAAATTACCTGTAGATATGCCCTTGTTGAATTACAATGAAAATGATAACGATGAATTAGATAAATCTATAATATGATCTCTACTAGACAACCCGTACCTAATGCCCGACTGGAGTGGGCGGTTTATTTACATGATCAGCTGATTCATTCACAACTTTTCTGCCCCTTGTTCAGCACGGACTACAGAGCATTGGCGTCAATATGGTCTAAAAACCCTATAAAAGAAGAGAAGAGAACATACTACACTGAAGGAATATTAAGAGGGTATAAGAATATCAGGAAGACTTCCTTAAAATGCCTTCTCCGTCTGCTGTGATGTTGCCGGAGGAAAACAAGAGAAGTCTAACGGAGCTTTCGGAAAAGGATAATGATGTGAGACATATTTATGTTGTAATTGTTTTTTTTAATCATTTGTGGAATGTATTCTATGTAGGCAGAAGACAATTTCCAGTGTTTACTTCTGCTATGGAGAGTCACTCGAAAAGTAGTTTGATTGAATTTGTAAACTATAGTGTGAGTTAATGCTATTGTTTTTCTTGAGTATCAGCACAAAATCATGATTCACATGGTTAACATTTTATAATGCTTTCAAATCACACACTGGTATGGTGCTTGAAATATTTACGAGCAGGACTGAAAGGTTATTTTTCAGCCCTTGTCTATTTAACTTTCATGTATTTCTGTATAGAAAATATGTGAATCTATGGGTAGTTACCATTTTGAGAAGTATGAGATTTTTTGTTATCATGTTTTCATATAACAATGGAAGATATCTGTTATTTCATGATGTAGTCTGGGCTAAATAATAATCTGGATTTTAACTTATAAGTGGTTTTTCATATCTCTGTTTTAAGTTGCTTTTCATAGAAAATATTATTATTTTTTATTCTATTTCTTTCATTCTCAGGCTTTCAGGTTTTAGATACACCGCCATCTTATAGAGCGCGTATAGTTTAAGATTTATAAAATGACGAAAATATTTCAAATTCAAAGTCGATGAGCTTGTGCTAGTGTTAGTATCATTTGTTATTTGGCTAATTATCTGTGTACGCAGTCTCTTCATTGCATAGCGAATCATCGAGTGTTTCACACTTTCTTGTTGACAGCTTCATTTCGAGATTGAGAAATGTTGCGTTTGCAATTCAATTTACAGTGGCAAAGGACTTCAGTAGTTTTATATCTGAATCAAGAGCTTGATTAAAATCGAAGCAATCTTTTCACGTACGGTGTGAATGCAGCTCAATACCGTGGTGGAGAGAATGTTATCAAGGGCAGTTTAGTCAAATCAATTGGTCAATACGTTTAAAAATATTAAAAATTGATTTAGTCCGGAACATAGAGTTTCCCGATTTTAAGAGTTTTATGCATTTTTGATCGTTATTCTTCTTATTTAAGCTTGACCCTAATTTCCGATATACTTCAAACGGGACTATCAAATCAAAATCGTCGATGGAGAAATGGTAATCTCGATGAAATCATAGGATTTCATGCAGAAAAACATACTTAGAGAAGGCTTACTGTAATTAGGGCAAAAGTATATGACTGAGTATTATTTTTTAAGATTAAAAGAGCATCGTTGTATGATGTTTATATTTTGAAAATTACAAGCAACTTCAATGTATAATCTCACTTTTAACTTTCAGTAAGATTTAAATGAAATTCAAAGTTTAGTCTCTCTTTAAATGCTAATTTTTACTATGCCAGACCATTTTGAGCCAGAAATGTATTCTTCAAATTCAAAAGGGATAAGGAGCCATCTTTTATATGTAGAGACTGATAGATATAACATCTCATCATTATTAAATAATTTTGATCAGTAAAAAATATATATGAAACCACAGAAATGTTGATACCGGGTATATGTCCTTTGCTGATTAGTTTGAAAGAAATTTTGACATTAGGATGTATATTTTATCTTTGCTAATTAGTATGCAAGAATTATTTCTCTGAGCAGCATTGATAAAATATTCTTATTTTTCAGGCTTTTTTAACTTCCTGGGAAATGGCTCTGGAGCATCTGAGAACATACAAGGAACAAGAGGAAATTCTACCATATTACAGCGTGCAGCATCAGAAGGACACATTGGTAATTCATGAATTTAAGCCATGAATTATGTCTTCAGAAAAGTTGGTTATCTATGGACTTTGCATAATAAAATCCCTTTTGATAGATTTGGTTCAGAAGAAGATGACGTGAGATTAGTAGACTGGATTGATTTTAGTAGTTTTAATTCATTCATTTTAGTCTGCAGGAACATTCCATATAATTCTTTGATAGAGATAGTAGTTTCAATTCATTCATTTTAGTCTGCAGGAACATTCTATACAATTTTTTGATGGAGATTTAGATGTAATATAATTCTTTATTCCTCTAGGAACTGAAGTCAGCGAGGATAGCAAAGTTGCTTGAGCATTTGCATGAAACAAATTCGGACCAAGATCTAGCAAAACTCCTGACTTCATCTGGCCTACGAAAAGAAATAGTGAATATTATTACATCCCAGGTGTGTATACCGGGATATTAAGTAGCTTTTATGATTTTTGTCTGGCTGTTATTATTATTATTATTATTATTATTATTATTATTATTATTATTATTATTATTATTATGATCATCAAAATCATCATCATCGTCATTATGATAATTATCATCTTCGTCATTTGTCATTGTCACATCATTATCATTAGTAGTAGTATTGTTTTTTTTTATTATAATTATAATTGATATTGTCATTGTCATTATCATTATCTTCAACTTTACCACTATTATCATTATTATTATTATTATTATTATTTTGTTATTATTATTATTGTTATGATTATTATGATTCTTATAATCCTTATCATTATTATCATCTTTATTGTTATTATTATTATTATTATTATTATTATTATTATTATTATTATTATTATTATTATTATTGTTATTATTATTATTATTATTATCATTATCATTATTATAATTATTATTGTTGTTGTTATTATTGTTGTTGTTGTTGTGTTGTTTTGTTGTTTGTTGTTATTATTATTATCATGTTGATGATAATGATGATGATGATGGTGATCATCATCATCATCATTGTTAGTCACTTATTACCATTTATTAATTAGTATTTGTATTATAATTATTATTAGATAATGTTTGTGTGCAGTATTTTCACACTTGATATTATATTATTAATTATAAATCTTATGCTTCAATTAAAATCCACCATGTTTGTTTGGTGTTATATTATTGATTATTTAACCCTATCCATTAAAATCATCCATAATTATTTGACAGTATGTTATTACTTGTAAAACCATATTAGATAAAATTGACCATATTGGTTTGATATATTTATGAGCTGTTACAGAATTCCAAGAACTTTTTTTTTAACCAGTTGTGTAAACTAACCGCATCAATTTTTTTCACAGTCGGAACACAAGGAGTCTCTATCATAGTTAACACCATTACAAACCATACGAATGCGATGATGGAGCCTTGACTTTGGATTAAGAAGTTATTTATTAACCATGATAACATCTACACTTCAGTTAAATTTTGTAAATCTGTTATTTGTATTACAGTGTTTTATAAATTCTTGCATCTCCAATCTCCAATATATGCTGAAATCAACCCTGATCCTTCAATGTGCTCATGTCAAGTCTTAGGTTGGCATATACTATAATTTGATGATAGAATACAATATAAACATGCAATACATAGAAATAATTTTCAGCCATACCATGCATCTCCACCAATCACACATGTTCAGTGCTGTTGTGCATATAAAAGTGGGTACAAGAACTGTGGCTGTGCGAACTTGGGGCACTTTAGACAGACATGTATCAGTATTATGAGATTTGAACTATACAGTTATTTATTGTCTTTATGTTAAATTGTTGTTACGTTAATTGACTGATACTAATGTTTCCTTTCAGTGGTGGCTGGGAGTAGCTCCGAGGGAGAGGCTGGGAGAACTTTTGTACAGGTAATTTGTTGTTGTTTTTTCCTGTTTTTTGTAATGTCAGATACGTATGATCTGTAACTAATTACCATATTACTTTCTTTGATCTTTCTAGAATTTCCTTCATTGTCCTATTTGCCTGTTGGATCCTGACACCTTGCTGCTGTCACCTGACCCAAATTCCGGGTATTAGGCTTACTTGAGTGGTGACTGGTGGGTGTGTGGTTTATAGGCCCAGCCTACACAAACACTCGGGTTGGGTGTAAAGTTGTTATCTCTTTTTATGCCATTTTCCAAAGTCTGTATTTATCATTTGTTATGCTTTGTGAAGGTTGTAATAGATTGTTTTCTTTGCACAGACTCTGTAACATTGCTCTAGTAGTGTACAACTCTGTGCAATAATAATAACAATGAGTTGTGATGTTTTGTTACTCGTGTCACTTCTTATGTATTTATTTGTTCAATTTCCTGTAACACACCCTTGAGTGCTGGTCACAACAGGCAGGTATAAGATCCTTAGCATGGAAATAGTATCCTCTCTGGAGAACTCTTCCAGCCATGGCTCACAGATGGTACATTCCTCCCTTGTTTACTGAAGGAAATAACACAAGAGCCCCTTCCTAAATGCTCGCCGAGTCTAATCTTCCTCCTGAGAGGAATTTTGATGAGCTATAGTGCATGCTGTTCTTGCGACATGCAAATTATGTCAACATTTTTGATTTTTCATTACAATTCAGAAACTAAACCAAATCTTTTGATATCTCGTTGGAGTCTTGAAACACCCAGGATGCAGTTTGGGGAAGAGTGACCCAGACCAAAGTAGATTTTTTTGTTTGTTTGAAAGTGATTGCATCCATTTTTTTTCTGTGATCTAGAAATATTCAAGTTTATTCCATGAGCAAATAAACTTATAATATTTTCCCTTTGTAATAAAGAGTTCAACTTAACAGAGTATTTTTTTCTTAAATAATTAAGAGAGAGAAAAAGGAGGAACGTAACAAAACGAAACGAATAACAAATATCATAAATAACATCTAATAGATAGATAGATAGATAGATAGATAAAGCCACAAGAGAGCGGAGAGAATAGTGGCTTATGAGGCGAGGCTTTTTCGTCTTTTTTGGTCAGATTTTTATCTATTATTAGAGAGAGAGAGAAAGAAAGAAAGAAAGAAAGAAAGAAAGAAAGAAAGAAAGAAAGAAAGAAAAAGAAGAAAGAAAGAAAGAAAAAGAAGAAAGAAAGAAAGAAAGAAAGAAAGAAAGAAAGAAAGAAGAAAGAAAGAAAGAAAGAAAAAGAAAGAAAGAAAGAAAGAAAGAAAGAAAGAAAGAAAGAAAGAAAGAAAGAAAGAAAGAAAGAAAGAAAGAAAGAAAGAAAGAAAAGAAAGAAAGAAAGAAAGAAAGAAAGAAAGAAAGAAGAAAGAAAGAAAGAAAGAAAGGAGAAGAAGAGAGAGAGAATCGCCTGCGAGCGAAGTGAACAAGCGCCGCAGTGTAAGGAACCTGATGAAAAATGTAAAAAAAAGGTGTTCAAAATGTAAAATAGGGGAAAAAAATAAAAAATACGGTATTTTGGGGACAACCCTAGGCAGATATCTGGGGAATGAAAATATAACCCTTTCAAAATTGTTTAGATATTACCTCGGCGGTGACAGTTCTTTTTTATGTATTTGGATTTGTGTGCGTGTGTGTGTGTGTGTGACTGAAAGACAGAGAGAAAGAGAGAGAGAAAGGGAAAGAGAAAGAGAGAGAAAGACACGCACACACCCACAACAATAACAATAACAAAAATGATGATAATAATGATAATAATAGCAACAATAACTAATGATAATAACAATAACAATAACAATAATTATAAATAATAATAATAATAATAATAATAACAATAATAATAATGACAATAATAATAATAATGAAAACATAATGGTAATAATAATAACAATAATAATAATAATAATGGCAATGATGCTAATAATAGTAATACTACTAATAATAATGATATACGGGAAACAATTATGACAATAATAATGATAATGATTATGAAAATAATAATAAAAATAATAACAATGATACTACTACTACGACTACTACTACTAATAATAATAATAATAATAACAAATGATAAGGATAATGTTCACCCCGCAACCCCAATCTCACCCCAGGCTCGTGACCGGACCATAGTCCATGTAGATTCCCAGGGTCATCGGAAAGCAGGCCCAGGTCACCTGTAATCAGGCATAGATTTTAGAGCTGGAGGAGTCATTAGCGAACAGTGGGAGCACCATGAGACAGCTCTCCCTTGGGTTTCCTGGCATTGCTATAGTTTTAGTTTTCATATATATATATATATATATATATATATATATATATATATATATATATATATATATATATATATATATATATATATATATATATATATATATATACCTATGCATATACATATGGTTAGGGCCCTGGACACAACTCGAGTTCGTACGGGCGTGTGAGTTGTCTGTGTGTAAGAGTGGTTGTGCAATAGCCAACGATCAAGTGTGTTGATTTGTGTGTTTTATAGTTTATCTGAGACTAGGTGTGTGTATATGTGTACAATAGTGTGTGTCTTGCTGTATGCGTGTGAGAGACCATGTATGTATGAGTGTGAGTGTTTCTCTAAATCTGAAAGTCCAGGTGTGTATTTGTGCCTTGATGCATATGTGAGAATTCATGTATATGATGTGTATGTATATGTATGTGCCTATACCTAAGTACTACGACATGGAAGATAACTCTCCCAGAAAAATTATGCGTAAGTTCAGAGACTTGAGGATTGAGGAGAAGTGACAGGAAGCACTCCAGCTGATGAGGTCCTCCCACCTTCCCCGGATTATAGGCAAGTCCCCCTCCTTGTTCTCGTTTTCTGTTGGATAGTATTTTCTGTTTGTATTTTTTCTTTGGTTTTTTTATGCATTCAATTGTTTCACTTTCTGATTATTCATTTTTTTCGTGATGGAAGTTAGAGAGTAGTTTTGAATAATTGATAAATAATTTGATAAATACATTGTATGCACATACTGACATGTTGCATCGCTGCACGTGGCTGTACACCTCGTGTGAGTGTGTGTGTGTGTGTATGTATGTGTGTATGAGAGAGAGAGAGAGAGAGAGAGAGAGAGAGAGAGAGAGAGAGAGAGAGAGGGAGGGAGGGAGGGAGAGAGGGAGGAGAGGGAGAGAGGGAGAGAGGGAGGGAGGGAGAGAGGGAGGGAGGGAGAGAAGGAGGGAGGGAGAGAGGAGGGAGGGAGGGAGAGGGAGGGAGGGAGGGAGGGAGGGAGGGAGGAGGGAGGGAGGGAGGAGGGAGAGGAGAGAGGGAGGAGAGGGAAGGGAGAGGGGAGGGAGGGAGAGAGGGAGAGGGAGAGAGAGAGAGAGAGAGAGAGAGAGAGAGGGAGAGAGGGGGAGAAGGAGAGAGGGGGAGAGAGGGGAGAGAGAGAAGAGAGGGGAGAGAGGGGAGAGAGGGGAGAGGGGAGAGGGGGAGAGAGAGAGAGAGAGAGAGAGAGAGAGAGAGAGAAAGAGAAAGAGAGAGAAGAAAGAGAGAAAAGAGAGAAAGAGAGAGAAAGAGAGAAAGAGAGAAAGAGAGAAGAGAGAAAAGAGAGAAAGGAGAGAAAGAAGAAAGAGAGAAAGAGAGAAAGAGAGAAAGAGAGAAAGAGAGAAAGAGAGAAAGAAGAAAGAGAGAGAGAGAGAGAGAGAGAGAGAGAGAGAGAGAGAGAGAGAGAGAGAGAGAGAGGAGAGAGAAGAGAGAGAGAAGAAGAGGAGAAGAAGAGAAGAGAATGATTTTTGTAAGGAAACCATGTAAGAATTCGAAACGCGGACCGTTAGAAATAAAAAAAAATTTAGGATGATTAGAAAAAAAACAGTGAAAAGAAAGAAAAGCAACGCACAATACAATAATCAATGATAGAAGGAGAAGAAGAAGAAAAACGAATATTCTGGTTAAGTTAGATCTTATAGAAACGACAAACTGATTAGTGAAAAAGGTAACCCAAAAGATTTCACATTCTTACATATATCTTATATATATATATATATATATATATATATATATATATATATATCTATCGTATATATAATATTATATATATTTTTAATATATATTATAATATATACAC